ATAGGCGAGCCTCTGGCTCTCATCCTACAGCTGCATCTTTTAGCGACAGTACCATTGCCCTTTATGAACACTTTTGTCTGAGCATGCCCTCTTAGATGTATGGAGAGAGAAGAACCCTACCACAAGAGATTACACATTCTATTCTAATCATGACAGTTTCTCTCATAGATCACATTTTCACAACTCCAACCTTTTTACCCTTTGTCAGATCATGCCCTAGTTATTCTTTCTTTTATCTCTCTATCATTAAGCCCTACCTCCTATCATTGGAGGCTAAATGATTCTCTGCTCACATTTGAAGACTCTGCGGAGCTGGTCCGCAGCTTCTTAATTAGATACTTCACGGAAAACATAGATTCGGTCTCCTCTCCCATATCGTTGTGGGAGGCCCATAAGGCAACAATCCGAGGAGATCTCATACAATTGGCGTCACGTAGAAAAAGGGAACGTGAAGGTAAAATCCAGACTCTTGACGCAGAATTGTAACGCTTGGAATCACAGTGGAAAACGAATCCCTCCACTCTAACACGCAAGCAGGTAGGGTTGACTTGAATCTTCTCAACAACGATGTTGAAAAGCAAATAAGATGTACTAAACGTCGGTTTTATGCCAGAGCTAACAAACCCGGCTCTATGCTGGCAAATTTTTTGAATGCTAAACCCAGGGCAGCGCGCTCGCTCAAACTTCAACTATCCAATGGCTCCCTGACTGCGAACCCAACCCATATTGTGTCTAAATTTGCTAACATACTGGCCAAACTTTACAATACACCTTCCACCTTGATTCTAATAGGGCTGATGCTCTTTTTTTTCTGATTTCCCTGTCTCTGCCCTATCTGGACTTATGGTGGAGATGATGAAGGCGGATGTCACAACCTCAGAAGTTCAATTGAAGATTTAAACAACTTAAAGGAGAACTATGAGGTGAGTGCTTTTCACTCACCTCATAGTTCTAGCTGACCTGTGACAATGAAACTGTCGCGGCTCAGTAGATCGGGAGGTGAGCGAACACATACCGGCGTTCGCTCACCTCTCGATCCTGTCACGGCTCTCTGCCATGACAGGGGAGGGGCTGGATTCCCCGCTCCGATCCGCCAGCACTGACTGGCGGAACGGACAGGGAGGGGGCGGGTACAGCTGGCTCTGCCTCTAGATAGGCAGAGCCAGCTGTCAGTTGGACGGATCCCGGCATAATTGTCGGGATCCGCTTCAGCTGCGGCGTCTCGGTATACTGAGCCTAGGGTGACGGGAGGACGCTAGTTTGTATCCTCCCGTTACCCTAAGGAGAACTATGGGGAAAAGCCTTAACCCCATAGTTCTCCTTTTAAAACTGCTAAATCACCTGGCCCAGATGGTTTCACACCATTATATTAGAAGAAGTTCTCAGAATGATTGACACCCCACCTAACAAATCTGTTTAATCATTTAAGAACTGGCTCGCAGCTGCACCCTTCCTCCTTACTGAGTCGGGTGGTAATGCTTGCTAAGCCAGGGAAGGACAGTGCAGATCCCAAAAGTTCATGGCCCATATCCCTATTAAATGTGGACATTAAGATACTCTCCAAAATACTGGCCACTAGGATCAGCAGGCTAACACTCCGGGCATGTTGTTAACTCTAGATATACAAAAAGCATTTAACAGTGTCTCTTGTGATTATTTGCATTACATTCTTTAAAAGTGGGGATTTCCGCCACGCTTCCTACAATGGATACGAGTTTTGTAGCGGGACCCGTCTGCTAGCGTCCGCTATCTCCACTATTCTTCCAGACATTTTAAGATCCGTAGGGGGACGAGACAGGGCTGCCCCCTCTCCCCAATCCTATTCATTCTGGTGATTGAGCCGCTGGCTTATCTCATATGCCAAAATCCTGATATCCATGGGGTAATGGTTGATAACACCGACTATAAACTAAATATGACCTTCTCCTCGCAGTAACCCAGCCTCCGATATCGTTGCCAAACGTCTCCTTTTTGAAATCCTTTGCACAGGTCTCGGGTCTCTCTTGAGGAGAAATCATTAGCTCTTAATATATCCCTTCCACGGGCAACAATGGACTCTTTAAGACAAAACTTCACTTTCGGTTGGCGCACCTCCCACCTAGACTACCTTGGACTTTTCTTAACCAGAGAGTATAGCTCACTTTATAGAACTAACTATATCCCTATGTTCAAATCCCTAAAAGACTTAATGACCTCTTGGGCCTGTCATAATTTATCCTGGATAGGGAAGATTTATGCTGTCAAGATGACAATACTCCCAAAACGACTCTATCTTTTTAGGACTGTGCCAGTTGCGATCCCAGGATCTGCGCTTCGCTCCTTTCAAAATCAGGTCCTAACCTTCATCTGGGGGAATTCCAGACCGCGAATTTCTAAACACTCCATATGTGCCCACAGGCGACGGCGGGTTGGGTCTTCCACATTTCTAGAAATACTTCCAAGCTGCTCAGATAGCTCCCCTACCTAATCTTTATGTATCTACGCGGGCGCCGCTATGGGTGGAGCTGAAAAGTGTGTTCTGTGCTCCGACTTCAGCGCTCCCATGGCTTTCGCGAAGTTCACGCCCCAGGACCCTTATTCCAGGGATGAGGCATACCCTCTCTGTGTGGGATAGTACCAAATATTATAGCAAATTGATCTCTCCTCACTTACCTTTGCTACCCATACTGGGAAACCCACTGTTCCCACCCGGGATAGAGTCTCCTGGGGCGTTCACCTGGTGGAAATCGCATGGTCAATAAACTATGGGCTCAAACGTTGCGCCTAATGAGAACTCTTTTTCACACCAACATACTTAGAGACCCCTGATTTGCTCTTTTGCATCTTAAACCTCAGAATCTTACGAAGACTCAGCACAAGCTGGTAGTCTTTATTTTCAGCATTCTTTTAGACACCCAGATGAAGTTTGTAAAGACTTGGGAACCTTGGATAAACTATGCACACCCAGATATCCATCCTAACAGCCTAACCACCATTTAAATACCCTACCCTGGCCGGGGGATTCGACTACCACCAAACTTTAGCCCCCTTTCCCCTTCTCACCCTACCTCCTCTTCAGCCTCGCTCCTTCATTCACCCTACTGTTCTTCCCACTTTAATGCTTGTTAAATTGAGTTAGTGGAATCTGTCTAATGTCTCCAGCAACTCATGATTGCTCTGGTAATCCACTATATTGTATACTGTATGCAGTTTATGTATGCACTTTCTGTATGACCCTCATATTTTCTTGTAAAACTTAATAAACACTTTGCAAAGAAAGACCCGAAGGCAACAGAACTGTTCAAAGAACCATGCAACAAGCGTTTATTTTTGCGGCACAAACGAATGGCGTTTGTTTTGATAATTCAGCAACATGGGGTGCAAAGTGGGTGGGGTTTCAGCAACTATAACGCACAATATCTCCTAAACCAAAGCAGCACAAACGTTGTTTTTTTTTTTTCGGCACAAGCACGGGACAAACGAATGGCGTGTTTGTTTTTAAAATTCAGCAACGTGGGTGGGGCTTGCATTGTATTGAATGTTTAATATCTCAGAAACCGAACCGGCACAAACGCTTGTTTTTGCGGCACAAATCAGCACAAACGTGGCACAAACAAATGGTATATTTTTATTCAGGTTTTTCAAACATAGGGTGCCAACTTCACACAGCTGTATTTACAGTCTTCTAACCTGCTTATTTTGATTTATATTGGCAATATGTCATACTTTATATTTGCTGTAGAGCAGTGGTTCTCAACCTTTCTAGGGCCGGGACCCCTTGGTAACATTTGCCAAGTTGTGGTGACCCCCAACGGTAAAATTTAGGGATGACGCGGCTGCTGCAGCGACATCTGGCGGCGTGGTGGGAGAACTGACACTGCTGCGCTAGGAGAGGGCTGAGGAGGACTCTCACCGAGCACAGCAGAAATCACACAGCGACCCACAGGTTGAGAACCACTGTTGTAACAGCTAAAATGGCAAACCATATAACACAAGCCGAGGGTGTCAGCTTTTATTATTAATAATAATGATGATAATCTAATAGCTATCTAATAGTGGGAGACTCCCGGCGACCCCTGGCAAATTGTCAATCGACCCCCGAAGGGGTCCCGACCCACAGGTTGAGAACCGCTGCTGTAGAGGATCATGTAAACATTGAAAAAAGTTGTGTGTGTGTACTACAAAAGTATGAATCATGAAGGTAAAGCATAATAGTGCTACATAGGAATAAATAAATACAGCAAACTCGCTTGCTGCTGTTTGCTGATCAAATAATATACAGACTTGCAGCTTAGTAACCAATGGTAGTAATAATCTTTTTTACACAGCAAAGTAGAGTCTAAAAAAAAGTTTTTGCTCTGTACGTTGTGACGGGTTTGCTGTTCTCTTTTGTGCCTACTGCTGACAGTGCGGAGCCACTCTAAGAGATGTCATTGTGTTCTGCGGTGTCATGTCACTCTGGTTCTCTTTCATCCCACTGCACACCTGTCAGAATGCTGCACAGCTTTATTTCTTGTCTTAAGGTGGCCATACACTTTACAACCCTTGCAAGACTTTTGTCTTGCGAGGGTTGTAAAGTAATCTAAAAAACGTACGATCTGCCCATCTTGGACAGGCAGATCGTACTTGTAATCATCCCAAGCAAATGCAAACGCGTAGTGTGCGCGTGCACACTCCGGCCCGTTCGGCAGTTGTCGAACAAGCAGGCCACTAACTCGCCGAGAATCGTACGATTCTCGGCGGGTTTTCCAGCCTGCTTGTTCGACGGAAGACGTGCGACAGTACAGTAGAAACGGTTGCACGCCTTTCATACACTTTGCGATTATCATACGATCGCGGGATTTCCCGCGATTCTCGTACGATAATCGTACAGTGTATGGGCACCTTTATTACCGGATCTGTGGAGGTTTTGTTCAATTCAGCTGCTGCAACTTTGCTTCCAAATTTCTATTCCTCTTTCTTGTGCTGTAGGAATATACTTTTTCTATCTGCTGAAAAAAAATTTTCATCATCCATTTTAGGTTGTCCCCCAATACGCTGGTGACCCCACACAAGAAAAACATGTTGGGCAATGGAAACTACGATGTCAATGTGATTATGGCAGCACTTCAAACCAAGGGATATGAAGCTGTGTGGTGGGATAAGAGAAGGTACAAGTACGATGACCAAAATAATGCTTTATTTTCAGTATATTTGTAAATGTCACAACTGCATATATTTTTGTAAAATGTAGATAGATTCAGTGCCCTATAAAAAAAGGACATGGAAGAAAGCTCTTTTTTTTCTCAGCTTAGAAAGGGGTTCTTTACAGTAAGAGTGGCTATGCTGTGTAGTGCTTTTTCACATGAGCAATGGGGCAATACCTAATGGAGAAAACACAATTGTGGCATTAAAAAAGGACTGGGTGGTCTTTTAAAACTAATAATATGCAGAGTTATAATTACTAAAGGTTAAGAGAGAAATATTTTGATCCAGGGAATTGTGCTGATAGACCCTCCAGAAGTCATAAGGGATTTTTTCCTCATGTGGCAAAGTTGGCAACAGTTGCCTTCAGCTGAACCATTATTTCAGCTACATTGACTTTCCAATTAAGCTGTGTGAGTAAAAAAAAGCAGTCCTGATGTGGCATTGAATGCAAACCTATAGGCAAACCTCACTAGCATGGTAGAGAAGAATGTCTATTCTTCTCTACCATTTTATTGAACAGAATGTCAGTTGAAAAACCAGTGCTTTCGGGACCTCGCAGAGTCCCTTCATCAGGCTCAACATTGACAACTAACAAACAAAACTGTGGGGGAGATATATCAAAACTGGAGCAAACAGAATCTGGAGCAGTTGCCCATGGCAACCAATTGACATTTTCAAAACTTTCCCGAGCAAACTGAAGAAAGATGAGACAGAACAGCTGATTGGCTGCAGTTCAAATCTGCTCCAGATTTTGTCCACTCCAGTTTTAATGAATACCCCCTTGTGAGTTAAAATAGACATAGTTGTGAGACAACCCATGTAACCACCCCCCATCACGCCCACCTATGACATCACATGATTATATAACATATTATATAACATGTTTATATAAAGAATAGAGAGGTTATGTAATCTTAATAAGATTACTGATAACCATACATATCACCAATAGTGTGTAAAAAGGGATCAAAAAGCGACTACTGTATGAGGAGAAATGACAGTGCAGTTTGCCTTGTGTAACAACCACGTTGACGAGCAGCTGCTTGGTGCCCATTGTGCTGGACGCTAAAGTCCAGTTCAGTCGCAGTGAGTTCCCTGTCGGGAACACCACTGACGTATGCCTTGTGCGGGAGACAGGAGTGTGGGCAGCTCAGAGGACATTGGGCGGAGTCAGTCTATGAGCTGAGGCAGCGAGTCACTGTTGTCCATATTTGCCATGGTTCCAATGGAATGCACTGCCATTGTAAAGCAGTAGTGTCCTGTAAAGCGCGCTGTCATGGCAACAGGCCTCTCGCTTAGTCTGAGTCCGAAATGGCCATAACAACGAGGTAATACGTCCTATGTCGGCTATGTGTATAGACAAAATGACTGACCCAGCACCAGCTCAGTATTTAGCGGAATTAGCGAAAGAGGTTCAGGGAAATAGTAAGGTAAAGTCAGTTCCCTAAACTGTGATGTCACAGGTGAGCGTGACGGAGGGTGGTTACATGGTTGTCTCACAACTGTATGTCTATTTAAACTCAGTTTTGTTTGTTAGTTTTTGATGTTGAGCCTGATGACGGGACCCTGCGAGGTCCCGAAAGTGCTTGTTTTTCAACTGACGGAAATCCGTTCAATAAAATGAACAGTTGATGATCCTAAAAGGATTTTCGGTGCGCTAGTGACATTCTTCTCTACCAAACCTATGTGATAGCAGCGCCATCTGCAGTCATTTCAGCACCCATCCCCATCATTGGGATTTCCGGTAAGGAGTGCGACAAGTTCTCCTCTACAACCTGAATTCACACCGGCAGCCACGTTACTTGTGACTTTTCAATAAACTTCTAACAAAGAAGTAAACAGTGCAATGTGTTATCAGCACTTTGCCAGGCAATGCACACCAACAGCTGTGCGTTGCCTGACTGATGTGCTGATCGCAACGCACTGTTTACTTTTTTTGTTAGAAGTTTATTGAAAAGTCACAAGTGATGTTTTATTATGTTCTATGGGTAACAGCGTGGTGCGATGCGGTTATACCGCACTGTGCTGAAAAAAAAATACTGTGCGCCGTACTTCTTTTCAGCGCCCTTTATTGCAATGCGGTGGTGTGAACTTGGCCCATCTAAAACAAATCGAATCGAAATTACCTTGTCTTGCATTGGGGCTGTGCTGGAACAAATAGCTAGGGTCACCTGAATGCATCTGTTGTGACTCGGCTCTTAGACAGAGCAGTGGTGTCTCTCTCTTGGCTGGATTGTTCATGAGAGTAAATCGGGGACACAGTGACACCACTGTGCAGCCTGAAACTGCAATGTTGTTATAGCTGTTGCAGGAGGTAAATTTGGATGACTATAAAGGACTTCTGTAGGTGAGACTGTCTTCAGAGAACATCACAAAACTGATAATGAATTAGGTTAAGGAAAGTTGGACAACAATAACAAAACTAAATTAGGGAGGTGCACTCTATGAAATGTAGGTTCACTTTAATGTAATGTTATGTTACACTTGCTTTAAAGTGTATGTCAAGCCAAATGTTTTTTTAGTTTTGGAGTGGTTAGGTTTTTACTGATATTTGGGAGAGGTCTACTCCCACTTCCTGTTCTGCTGATGGTTTACCTGACAGGAAGTGAGAAGAACTCTACTGCAGCAACACAGACAGACTTTTCTTTAACCACTTCCAGCAGGTTCATGTAAATGTACATCATTCGCTGGAAGTGGTTATACCAAGAACACGGCTGCAGCTTGGTACCGGTTTAAACTAGGGATGCACCCATATATCGGCCGCCGAAACATATTGGTCGAAAATGGCACTTTTGGCAAAATGCCGAAAGTGCCATTTTCCTGCCGATCGGCGCGTCCCTGCTTTCTTTCCTCCCCGCTGGGAGATGCTCTGTGTCCCAGCGGGGAGGAATGAAAGTGTGACAGCCTGCCGAGCGCTGTGGGAGGAGAGCGCTGTAAGCGGCCGGCGTCTATTTACCCAGCGTGACCCCCATCTTTTGTATTTTTACTCAAAAATTAGGTATTATGTTTCTGTGCACCAAATTTCATTTTAGTGCATTTTATCCTAAAAATACTTGTTTTGATAAACATTTGTTCAAATGACATGCACAAAAAACGGCAACTAGCATCTTTTTATTCTACAGGTCCTCTGCTTTCAGAAAATGTATTATTGTTTGGGGGGGTCTGAAGCTGTTTTCTAGCCAAAAATTCATATTTTATCATGTGTGCGCAAAAGTAAGAAATTGCTCTGGGCAGGAAGTGGTTAATAGTTGGGGAAGGCTAGAATCCCTGTCAGATTTGTATTTCTGTCTGTGTCATTTGCAGATTTTCATTTTATTTGTCTAGCTGGGGAAACTGTTGTTGGCAGGACAAGAATGAGGGGAAATCTCTCTAATACAGCCCCAGATGGCAGTAAAAACCTTACAGGTGTTCTAACCCTGCCCTACTATATCCAAAACAAAAATAGTTTTTGGCTTGAAATGCACATTAACGTTACTGACACTAGCTATAACTAGGGATGTTCAGATACCAGTGCTGATACTTGGTATTTTTACGAGAACTACCAGAGTTGCAGCTCCGACTGGGCCCTGGCTCTCCACCACTGTCATGAAATCATTAGTCTGTATTGTTTTAGAAAAACTGCCACATGATGCTAAATAAAAATGTATCAGTGTTATGGAAATTCGCTTGGTTAAACGCACAAATCCATGCCGCACTAAAGTATGCCAAACACAAAGAATTTCCCCCGTACTTAAAAGCACAGTTGTATTAAGCTCTTTTGTGCAAGGAGTGGAGGTACCCCTGTAGAGTCATATAGAGTCAGGACACAGGTGGTGCTTTCATCGTGAAGGTTCCGTTCTTAGAGAGCTTCTGTCTCTCACTACACAGCTTTTATTTTGTCAGACGGGAAGTGATGTCTCAAAGAGGAAACCAGGAAATTATGTCAACCAACATCACTTCCTCAATACATCAACATATCATAGCCAGCCAACAAAGCACATGTACACAAAAGAAAAGGAAGTGTATGTCTATATCATAGTAGAAGCGGTGTGCATAGCCCATAGACCCGTGTGCACAGCTGCATGCTTTTCCTAGCCGCCATCTTTCCAGACCCACAAACACAATCTCCCATTACCACTGGAGCGAACCTTATCCAGCACTGCTCAGTGAGCAATGCCCAATAACGTTACTATGATTCCTATGAATGGAAGCTTATCTGCAGGGACAATGCCATACTATCTCCAGCGTGCTTATCAGACGCATCAGAAATACGAACGCACGTTCCTTTCATAAAGGCAGATATGTATCTTAAATAATACTGTGTCCTCAAAGCAAGTTGTATACACACCAAACCAATAAATCCGCGTTTTGCGCAGGGGCCCTAGCTTGCGTCCACACACACTTGCTAAAAAAACACTGCTCCGCCACGCATATGATATCTACTCCAATAGTTTACACGCGCTGATTTAAATCCGGGTCACGCTCCAATCGAGCATGGCACAGAAATCCAGACACTGAGAGACATGATGACAATATTACAAAATACTAAAACACATCCTAGTAAAATTTCCACAACAATCAGTAATTGGTATCTGTGAGTACTTGGACAAGTATTGGTACTTTTACTTGGTCTCTGGAAAAAATGGGTCCGGTGCATCCCTAGTGTGTGTGTGTGTGTGTGTGAAATGATTATTTGATCCCCTGCAGATTTTGTAAGTTTGCCCACTTACAAAGAAATGAAAGGTCTATCATTTTTATCATAGGTGTTTTTTAAATGGTAGAGACAGACTATCAACCTAAATTCCAGAAAAAAACACAGGATACAAATGTTATAAATTGAGTTGCAGTTCAGTGAGTAAAATAAATACAGTAATACCTTGGTTTACAAGTAACTTGGTTTGAGAGCGTTTTGCAAGACAAGCAAACATTTCTGAAAAATTTTGCCTTGATATACAAGCAATGTCTTGCAATAAGAGCAAAATTT